AAAAAAAAAACGGACTAACGAATCCAATGAGTTGAACATTAAAATACGCCATGATTACAGTACAAAGTTTCAAAATATTCAAGTATTGCTAGACTAAGCTAAAACGTGTTAGTGATATATTAAATCTAATATAAATATTTATATGATGAATATGTTCTAAGTTCATGCAGGTCAGTTAAGCAGTTACACTTAGAGAACTGTACCCATCTATAGGTATATGTGTCATCAAAATCAAGAAAATAGGCTGAGCGCAGTGGCTCACGCCTATAATCCCAGCACTTGGGAGACCAAAGTGGGTAGATTACCTGAGCTCACGAATTCAAGACCAGCCTGAGTCAGGGCGAGACCTCACCTCTAAAAATACAGGCACTGTGGTGGGTGCCTGCAGTCCCAGCTACTTGGAAGGCTGAGGCAAGAGAATCACTTGAGCCCATGAGTTGGAGGTTACTGGGAGCTATGATGCCAGAGCACTCTACCAAGGGTGACAAGTGAGACTATCTCAAAAAAAAAAAAAAATTCCAAAAGCCTATTTCAGGGCTCTTTCCACCTAACAACTCCAAGTTAAACTTTGTTACAACAAAGGTCTCCAAGCGGGCATGGTGGCTCACACCTATAATCCCTGTGGTCTGGGAGTCTGAGGCAGGTGGATCACCTGAGCTCAGGAATTTGAGACCAGCCTGAGCAAGAATGAGACCCTATCTCTACTAAAAAAAAGAGAAAAATGAGGCCAGAGGATCTACTGAGTCCAGGAATTTGAGGGTGCTGTGAGCTATGACACCACAGCACTCTACCCAGGAAGAGTCATCAGACTCTGCTACAAAAAACATCTCCAAATTCAAGCACACAACCACAAATTAGCTTAAATGGATGGAACTCCAGTCTGGATACCAAAAACATCAATGTTTCATTCAAGTTACTAATGCTCAACTATGCCTTTCAAAGTAATAACCAAACCAGGAGCAGTGGCTCATTCCTATAATCCTAGCACACTGGGAGGCTGAGACAGATAAACCGCTTGAGCTCAGGAATTCAAGACCAGCCTGAGCAAGAGCAAGACTCCATCTCTAAAAATTAGCCAGGCATTGTGGCAGGCACCTATAGTCCCAACTACCCAGGAGGCTGAGGCAAGAGGATAGCTTGAGCCCAAGGGTTTGAGGTTGCTATGAGCTATGACACTAGGGCACTCTACTGAGGACAACAAAGTGAGACTGTCTCAAAAACATAAAGTAACAATCAAAAAAAGATAATATGAACAAGTTCTCATAAAGTATCTATATTGCCACTCTATTCTTCCAAATAGTATATACTATAAAACTGAATTATTTATCCTAATGGCTCATTTTCCAACACATGAGATACATTTATTGAGTACTGTTGCTATGTATCTGCCATTATGTATCATTATAATTTAAAAAGAAATAGAAAAGCAAGCTTAACATCTGGAATGCACTAATGGGATTTTTCTACCAACTATTATCTCATTTATATTTAAGGTTGATACTTCAACAAGTAAGTTTCTTTTTTTTTGAAATAGCACCTCAAGCTGTCACCCTGGGCAGAGTGCTGTGGCATCACAGCTCACAGCAACTTCCAACTCCTGGGCTCAAGCGATTCTCCTGCCTCTGCTTCCCAAGTAGCTGGGACTACGGGTGCCCGCCACAATGCCTGGCTATTTTTTGATTGCAGCCATCATTGTTGTTTGGCGGGCCAGGGGTGGATTCCAACCCACCAGCTCAGGTTTTATGTGGCTAGCATCTTAGCTGCTTGAGCCACAGGGGCCGAGCCAACAAATGAGTTTCATCCCAACTCTCTTTATTATATTACATCCTGGAAACTGGCTACTCCCAAAAAGAAA